AAAACTGATAGAGATGACATAATTGGCAAGCCTGTACAGGAGTGGGCGGGGACTACGGAAGGAAGAGGACCGGATGGCTTCATAAAGGAGGAGGCGTTTTTGGCTAGCTGGAGGGGAGAAGAAAGGATGTCTGGGGAGACTCTCAAAAAAAGACCTCACAACCTGGGCCTGAAACCAGAACCCAGTCCTAGCCTGGGTCTTGTGCCTGCCTTTAGTCCACAGAAGAAAGACTTGTATTTATAACAAACATTGCAAACTCAGATGTATGCAGGTACTAAACAGTTAATAAAACGAGAGACGTAGTCTGGGTGTGAAACAGAAGGGCATGGTGGGGACCATGGCAAAATCATAACGCTTGTGTCCAGAAAGGCCAGCCAATTGTTGCATGAGAATGTGGGGTTCAGTGTGGTGAGAACTTCTGACTTATTTTCAAGAGATGTAAGAAATTCAGTCTTTTGTGTGAAACCTCCTGACTTGTAAATGTTGGCAACAAATTCAACTTTAGAAAAAAAAATCACAGTGTGAGCCCAATTTCCGCCATTAATTTGTGAACTCTCTTACTGTGTGTCTGCTGTGCTCAAACGAGGCTTGTCCCTAATCCTCTAAACAGCCCTGCTCTGTGGAGCTTGTCACCTGCTATGGCGAGCCACAGAAGCCCCTGTGGCTAACTCACATTCGAAAAGGCCAGTCTTGGAGAGGTGAGAGGGACTTCCTGAATTTGATGGGAAGGCTGAAACTCCAGGGAGAAGAATAGCCGTTGGGACCATGGGCAGGGGCATATTATAGGCAGGCACTGAACCAGAATGGAATACTGGGGTAAATGTGTACCCTGCGTGGTGGGATTCCAATGCCATGAAATAATTCTAAATTCTCTTGGTGTCTGTGTTAGTTACCAATGGCTTCTATAACGAATTATTACAAATTGGATGGTTTGAAATGACAGAAATTAATTTTTTGTAGTTCTGGAAACCAGAAGTCCAAAGTCAGTAGCACTGGGCTGAACTCTGAAAGCATCCATCTGGCTGTGCTCCCTAGAGGGGAACCCATTCCTCAACTCTTCCAGCATGGGTGGCTGCCAGCATTCCTTAGCTTGTGGCTACAGCACTCCCATCTCTGCCTCCATGGTTGCATTGCCTTGTCCTCTTCTCTGTCGCTGTCTCTGTCTCTGTCTCTCTCTCTCTCTCTCTGTGTGTGTGTGTGTGTGTGTGTGTGAAATTTTCCTATCTCCCTTTTATAAGGATTCATAGGATCATGCTGGGGCCCCCTGCATAATCCAGGAAAGTCTCCTTATCTTTTTTTTTTTTTTTTGAGATGGAGTCTCGCTCTGTCACCCAGGCTGGAGTGTAATGGCATGTTCTCGACTCACTTCAACCTCCGTCTTCCGGGTTCAACCAATTCTCCTGCCTCAGCCTCCTGAGTAGCTGGGATTACAGACACTTGCCAACATGCTTGGCAAATTTTTGTGTTTTTGTAGAGACAGGGTTTCACCATGTTGGCCAGGCTGGTCTTGAACTCCTGACCTTGGGTGATCTGCCTGCTTTGGCCTCCCAAAGTGCTAGGATTACAGGCATGAGCCACCATGCCCAGCCAAATCTCCTCATCTTAAAACCCTTCATTTGATGACATCTGCAAAGTCCTATTTTGCAATATAAGGTAATATTCACAGGTACAAGGGATTAAGATGTGGGTATCTCTTGAAGGCTTTTCTCAGCCTACTACTGTGTCTTTGGGATGCTCCCTGCAGATTCAAAGCTCTGGGCAGAGACAGCTGCTAGGCTGAGGTAGGGAGGAGGCTGGGGGCTTCTGCTGCTCTTGAAGTGGGAGACAAGACTGTGTCACCCCCAAGACTCACCTGATGGGTGATTACCTCCAGGGAAGGAGGGACTGGGGCTGCTGAGTGTTGCCGCTGTCCCTTCCTCCCTTCTGCACTGAGATGGAGACCTTGTTCTGAGAGGCTGGGGGATGTCCAAGCTCTCAACCCCAGGAGGGCAGGTCTATCTCCCTCTCACAGTCCATGGCACTCCAGAACTTAGCACACCACCTGGCACTGAGTAGGTGCTCAGTGTTTGTTCACAGGCTGCTGCCTCCAGGTTCTGTTCTCTCTCACTGTGGCAAGTAGAGGCTGGGAGGCCAGGCCAGCTGAGGGGCAAGTGTACACATGGACCCACAGCCTTGGCATAGGCTTGCCTGCTAGGGCCACAGGCCACACCAAAAATACCTTTCTGCATGCCCCATTAACCAGAGGGCTAAAGAACTATGACCAGTGGACCAAAAAGGAAAAAAAAAACGGGATTAATTTATGAGGCGTTCTGCTGCCTGGATGGCTCATTGCATACCCGCTCTGGCGATGCTGCTCTGTAATGTGCTTCTAGACTTACTGTACTTCGACATCCAGGGGCCCTTTTGTAACATGCCAAGTATTCCGCCGTTATTGTTCTAGGCACCTCCTGTTGGTCATTGGGCTAATTTATTTCAGTCGGAATTTCAGGACCAGACACAACTCTTATTACTCACTGTTTCGGAGAGGGAATAAAAGAGCAATTGATATTTGGAAAAATGAAAAATATGTCCAGAATACTTTGGGCTCTGAGGCCAAGAAGAAAAAAAAAATAGGAGGGGAAAGCTAGAGGGAAAAATAAGGCGGGCTCACCCCGTCATGCACTCTGTCGTGGCCTGTCTCGGAGACATGGAGTCTAGAATGTCTGCAGACAAATGAATCAATGGCAGGGCTCTGAGAATTCCTCAGGCACCTGGGCCCTTCCGCCCATGACTTCAGCCACCACCTGCAGGAGCAGGACTGGAAAAGGTTGGAGTGTGAAGCGCCCCTCAATTAGTTGAGTGTGTTAAATTGGGTCTCGGGTTGGAGGGTGAGGGAGAAACCCCAGTGGGGTTGTTGAACTCCTAAGTTTGCTTGCTCCCGAATCCAAGACTCTTATGGAAAATTAACGTAGGAATAGAATTTTGAGATGTGATGCCCAGATGCTTGCTTTCAGGACTGAGACAATGCTGAGGAGTGAGAAGGCTCTGTGCATGGGCATGGAGATGATGATGGTGTGCTCCCCGAGCCCCTGTCAGTGGTCTTCTGGTGGCTTGAAGGCAAGCATCTCCCTTGCCATTCGAGACCCTTGCCTGGTGCATGTGGGTGTGAAATCTGTGACTTCGCTGTTCCTGGAAGTCCTGGTTGAACGCTGGGTTTTTGGCAGACAGAGCGGCTTCTGCAGATGCAGGAAAGTGGGGGATGGGTTTAGCTCTGCCCTGGCCAACAAAAACCGCCAAGAGTGACGATGTACGTGAAAGTGAAGGGGTGGCTACACATGCCTTGGGCGCGTTGTGTTGTGGTCTGGGGCTTGGGCTGCAGAGCTGGGCATCCTGAGGACAAATCTCACCGCCCCGCCTCCACTGGCTGTGAGACCGTGGGCTGCACGCTGTACCTTGAGAGGTCTCTGTTCTCCCATCTGTAAGGTAGGGATAAAAATACCTGCCTTAGGCCAGGCGCGGTGGCTCACGCCTATAATCCCAGCACTTTGGGAGGCCAAGGCGGGTGGATCACCTGAGGTCAGGAGTTCAAGACCTGCCTGGCCAACATGGAGAAACCCTGTCTCTACTAAGAATACAAAATTAGCTGGGTGTGGTGGCGCATACCTATAATCCCAGCTACTTGGGAGGCTGAGGCAGGAGAGTCACTTGAACCCAGGAGGCGGAGGTTTCGGTGAGCCGAGATCACCCATTGCATTCCAGCCTAGGCAACAAGAGTGAAACTTGATCTCAAAAAACAAAACAAAACAAAACAAAACAAAACAAAACAAAACAAAATGCCTGCCTTACAGGGTTGCTGTAAGGGAAAAAAAGATAGCGTGTGAAATTCTGACCCCTGGCAATGATAACATGGATTCCTTTTTCTTGCACATTCATTTACTGTTAAGCATTGAATTAAGCACTTTGCATTCATTCCCTTATGGAATCCTCGCAGCAACTCTACGAGATGGAAACTAAAACCATGTCTGCTTTGCAGATAGAAAACTGATGCTAAGGGAAATTGGGGGCCTTACCTACAACTCCAGAGCCTAAGTCCTTAACATCTACTGCCTCGCCTGGAGATCAGGGTCTTCAGGGGAGGCACTTACGGTAAGTCAAGCCGGAGGAGACAGACTCCGGCAAAGTCCACCACTGCCTCCTCTTCCTGTGGTGATGGGGAGGACCACTGTGTCTTCATAACAAGATCCTTTCATATGGTAGAGTTACCCTCGGAGGGGCAAGGTCCACTCCAGGAGACACGTGACAGCAGGGCCCGAAGGAGGGGGAGGTGGGGGTTGGGGGATGCTCAGTTCTTGGTGCTGGAGTGTGAGGGCAGCGCCGTCCTGGTCTGTTCCAGATGTTTCTTTCTCTCTCCAATTGTGTACATTTGAATTTGAAGAAAGAAGGTGGCCAAGGGCCCATGGGATGGGAAGACCCTGTTAAAGGGGCGGCGGGCACGTGGCGCTCCCAGCAGATCTAGTGAGGGCTCAGTGTCTATTTGTCAAATGAACGTGGTGGTGGGTGAGCATCTGGAGTTGGTAACCAGCGCTGTAAGGTTGAAATGGCTTCAAGACGGGATCAAAACATCCGTGTCTGGGATGTTTCTGGGCTGAGAATCCTGTCTCAGTTCTGACTTCATTCTCTAACCACCAGATCCCCGGCATCCCTTTCCCCGGGGGTCTGAAGACAGCTGGGGTCTCCTGAGGGGCCTCCTGGCTCTGCGCTTGGGAGACCTGTGGGTCAAAATTTCAGGCCACGTTAATAGAAACAGAGTGAGCCTGTAGACACGGCCCAAGACAAGGCTCCCACAGACTTTGAGTCAGTTTCTTTTCGTCTTAAGCTGTTTTGGGTTTCTGGCAATTGGGAATAGAGGGATTCTTGACACAATAGCTGCATGTCAGGTTGTGCTTTCATAAGGAACACCATGAAACTCTTCTGCATCCAAGACGCTTCCTGGGATTTGTGGGCGAGCCTTGCGACCAAGTTCAAAGGAGCCTGTGAAGGAATTGGAGGGTGGGGCGGGGAGGGGTGGGGCAGGGTAGGGTAGGGACCGTGTGCCATGGGCCTACGCAAGATAAACCCGCAAGGAACTTCAAATCCACAGAGGCGTGGGACTGCTGGAATCCAGGATTCCCTCGGCCATCCGTGGGGCAAGGCCCATGGGGATCGGGGGAGAGGTCGGAGGGTGAGCTGTGCAGCCGAGCAGACCTGGGTTCCCATATTGTTTCTGCTGACTGCCTGTGTGACCCTGTGTGGGCTCCTTCCTGTCTCTCTGCTGGCTCAGTTTCCTCATCTGTAAAATAGGAACAACATTACTGTCTATTTCACAGGCCATTATGTCAAGGTGGAACAAGCATGGGATCTCTGAGTGGGGTGGGCCAGGGTGGAGAGTGATAGAGCGACATGCCATTGATCCCTGCTCTCCATGCCAACAGCAATCGCAACAACCAGGTGTTAGGACAACAACAGCTACTATCACCAACATCTTGATTGTGTTGGATCTAAGAAGCTTGATCTCACCCAATCCTTATGAATGCCCTTTGAATAGATGTCATTTTTCTTCTATTTGTCAGATGAGAAATCAGACACAAAGCCCATAGCCACCGAGCCACGCACTGCCTCCTGCGAAGTGCACCCACAGTAAATGCACAAATGGCATCTAAATTCTACTCACCATTCAAGGCCTGGCATGAGCCCCACCTCCTTGGTATAGTCCTCCAACCACAGGGATGTCTCTTTATCCATCTGGACTGCAGACGGATGTTTAACTTTTTAAAATAAATGGTCTTAAAAATTAGGAGCTTTCCCATACAATCTAGATTTCTGGCTTTTCTTGAAGAATGAGCGATCTGGCCACAATGACCCATGTTCCTGCATGCCAACACTTGCCTAAGCCGGGGCAGCTTAGCTTCCTTTAGATGGGGCCTGGGTGTTCTTGCTGGCTGCTGGACACTATGCCTGCCTGGTCTTGAAGGCATCTGGCTTGAGTCTTACCCTCTATTTGGTTATCTCATCACAATGCCTTGAATCACTGGCAAGTATTTTCTATGCATTTTTCAGTCTGCCCCGTGAGGGCACCAGCTGCTCTGTGAGGGAAAAGCCTTCCGCATCCTCAGAATCCCTCCTGTCTGGGGCTGTGTGGGCCCAAGGGCACAAGACCTGTATTTATCTTTTAATTGGATTAACCAAAAGCAAGCAGCCCCAGACAGGAGGAATCAGAAGGGATTCAGTGACCTTAGAGGAAGGGATTCAGTGACCTCAGAGGAAGGGATTCAGTGACCTCAGAGAGGTCGTGCATCTCCATTGCTCTACCATGGTGGACGTAAGACTGATGTTTATCCAGCCCTGCTGTGCACCAGGCATGGTGGAAGGAATCATGGGGATATCATCTCACTGAGACCCCACCACCTCCCTGAGACTGAGGTCAATGTCCCCATTCTACAGAAGAGGAAAGTTGGACTCAAGAGAACCGAAGAGACCTGCTTAAGGTCAGAACCGGCTTGCTGGTGGAAGAGTCAGGATTCGAACCCAGGTCTGTTGACTCCCACATCTGACTCTTTCCACACACACCCTGGGCCAGCTCTCCACGCCAGGCCCCTCTCTGCCAAAGAGAAGACCTTTGCGATGTTTTGTGTCCTTGAAGGCAAACCAAAAGAATTCCCTACAACTCGCTGCTGGCATTTCAAGTATTGGTTTATGGGTTTCTTGGTGAGAATGCATCCAGGGGCCTATCACCCTTAGTGAAATAGATACTTTTCCAATCAAAGAGTCAAACCAGAACTTGGCTTCTTAGAAAACCACTTGTCTGGAATGCTTGCCAGCAACCAGACGGTCCCACAGTTCAGATTTTTAAAAGTGTCTCAAATGTATGGAGAGACCTTTAGGGTGGAGGGTGGGAAGGCACATACCTTGCTGTGGAAATACGTAGACGTTCAAGTCGTCAGGACTCCTCGGCTGGCCAAGGTCAAGTCAGCCCTTTTGTGGCATTCTCAGGAGTCTCGCTGCCTTGCTGAACCCAAAACGAGCTTTTATTTTATGAGACTTTTCTTTCATGAAACAAAAACAGTAATTAAAGAGAAAAACCTTCTATAAACAAGTGTCTATAGTTCTCGTTTGCTTAACTTTTTCCAACCTTATGAAAAATTGGAACTGAAATCGCCTTCTGAAAGAAGGTTCGGGAAGTATTTTCTTTCAGGTTCATTCAAAATAGTCACACCTCCTTCTCCACCCCTTCCTGAATGCTGATATTTCCAATGGTCTTCACCATATCCTGAAACTAATAAAGTGGTGTGTTTTCATTATCTCTCACCACAATAATAAATATATGCAAATGACTCTGAATATAGTTTGTGACCTAAACCCTCACCCCACATCTGGATGGAATCTGAGACCCTAAATGGTTCAACCATTTGGACTGAAGAGGTTGGTTAATTCCATCCAAGAGCCAGTCATAAGCTGGTTAGGGACTGGTTAATTCATTCCAAACGGTCAACCGAGGATGGTGAGCAGACATAACCTGTGGTTCAGAAAGGTTTCCCTTAACCCTTCCTGAATTTTGATCTGAGGTTTATACAAACAGAAATTATGTGTGGGGTGGAGTGCAGCCAGGAAGTCTCTGAGAAAACTCCATCTTACACATTTTCTTTGAGACGGCCAGACATAAATCTTTGAGGATATCCGTCTTCCTACCAGAGTGGCTGGATTTTTATGGTTACTACACCCTGGTTAGATTTTAATGGGTAAAATACTTTTTTGAGTCCAAGGAAAGGGCTAGTATTCCCTGAGTAGCTAATACAGTCTTTCAAGCAGAAAGGAATGACTATTTTTTAAAAGTCAGAGACTGTACACTACCAAGGGGTGAAAAGGGTGTGTGTGTGTGTGGGTGTGTGTGTGTGTATGTGTGTGTGTGTGTGTATCTGTTTGGATGAATGAAAGAATGGCACTTTTGGGATGCATTTTCACTTCTTTTCAGGATAAGCAAGTTAATTTTCTGCCTCTAAAATAATAGATTAAGCTGGGAAGTAGGTTGGCTGCCTCTAAGCTGAAGTAAGATAAATACATATTTGTCAGTTCAAACTACTCTTCCCTGTACCCTTAAAAATCACTAATAATAACAAAATGTCAATTTTTTAACCCATGCATTCATTCTTGGTCCACCATACTCAATCTCCTTCCCCACTTTCTCCTTCACTTCCTTCTTTCAAATATTTTTATGAGTACCCACTACGTGCCAGGCACTGCCCTAGGTTCTCTCAAAGTTCTGTACAAAGACCACCCAGAGAATTTGTTGACCCTACCAAGCCAGGTTTATTTTTTATTGTTTATTTTTTTCTGAGATGGGGTCTCACTCTTTTGACCAGGCTGGAGTGAAGTGGCGTGATCTCGGCTCACTGCAACCTCTGCTCCCTGGGTTCAAGCGATTGTCCTGCCTCAGCCTCCCGAGTAGCTGGGATTACAGGCACCTGCCACCACCACACCCGGCTAATTTTTGTGTGTGTGTGTGTGTGTGTGTGTTTTTAGTAGAGGTGGGGTTTCACCATGTTGGCCAGGCTGATCTCGAACTCCTAACCTCAGGCGATCCACCTGCCTCAGCCTACAAAGTGCTGGGATTACAGGTGTGAGCCACTGCGTCCGGCCTAAGCCAGATTTATTAAACTTGCTGAACAAGGAGGAGCACTACTGTGAGAGAGTCTCATAGTATCTTAAAAGGGGATATTAGCAAAGGGCACTTATAGGGGCTTCGGGAATGGAGATTTGAGGGCGCTCTGCTGGGCACTGGGGGCACGGACACAGATGACTCAATTTGACTTCAAGGAGCTCACAGGCTGCAGACTGTAGGCAGAGTGTCTCACTGTAGTGTAAGTTTTATGACAGATAGCAGGGAACATGGAGGAGGGCCCCAGCCTTAGGTCTATGGAGGGGCCCCCAAAGAGGGACTCTGAAAGAGTTAAATCTTAATGAAATGCACTAGTAAGAAAGGCATGGGGAGGGTGTTACAGGCCAGCCTGGGGAATAGCTTATGTGATGTCAGGGAGCCCTCATGGGGCATCTGAGGAACTGCAAATAGTCTAGACTGGCTGCAGGAGGGCAGTGGTGGAAGACAAAGCTGCAGAGGGCAAGAGGGGTCTGATCATGCTGGAGCTGGACGTCCAGTTAGGCAGCTTGGGTTTTATGCAGGAAGGCTGTGGGGATGGCTTTGGAAGCATATGAAAGCAAGCACAGAGGAGAGAGCACCGGGTGCACCGGTTAATTAAGGAGCACCCTTGGGAAGGTGAGGTGGATGGATTTGGAGAGAAGGAAGGGAGACATGTTGCATCATCATCGTGGTTGAGATGTGGAGGGCAGAAAGTATGGGTGTTCGAGTGGGAGATGATTTGCCAGGCACTGCTGATGCTAGAGATGCAGCAATGCACAAAGACAGAGGAGGTCCCTGCTCCTCAGAAAATGACTTATTCATGCCAGTCATTGGATCAGAGTATCAGTCATCCATTGAACCTCAGTCATCCATTGAACCGAGAGAAGTTAACTTTTGAGCCAGACGCAGTGGCTCACACCTGTAATCCCAGCACTTTGGGAGGCCAAGGCGGGCAGATCATGAGGTCAGGAGTTCAAGACCAGCCTGGCCAACATGATGAAACCCCATCTTTACTAAAAAATATTAAAATTATCTGGGCATGGTGGCACATACCTGTAATCCCACTCAGGAGGCTGAGGCAGGAGAACCCCTTGAATCTGGGTGGTGGAGGTTGCAGTGTGCCGAGATTGTGGCACTGCACTCCCTCCTGGGTAACAGAGTGAGACTCTGTTTCAAAAAAAAAAAAAGACAGAAGTTAACTTTTGAGTGCCTACTGTGCGGCAGACACTTTCTTTTTCTTTTCTTTTTAAAACTTTTAAATTGTAAACTAGAATACAGATCAAGAAAAAAATCACACAAAACAAATACATACCCTCTGAATCATTAAATGGACACCCTTGTAACCGTCACCCAGTTCAAGAAATAGAACTTTGCCAGCCACCCAGAAGCCCCTCCATGTGCCCTGTCCTGAAATCAAACCTCTCCCTCCTCCCAAAGGGAACCAGTATCCTGACTTTTGTAGTACTGTCTTCCACACTTTTCTTTATGGTTTTATCACCCAAATGTGCAATCCTAGATACTATAATGTAGTTTTGTTCATTTATTAAAAACATATCTTTTTGAAATATCTTTAATTTACAGGTTCCCCCTATATCTTTTTATTTTTGCTATGATTTATGTGTTCAAGAACCTGGATTGATTGACCTGTTTGTTTTTCCACACAGGGATTTTGCTCTTTTTTGCATTCTCTTGGTGTACTTGGACATGTTCCCCTGTCCCATATATTTCCTGCTAATTGGCAGCTGGCAGAGGCTTGATCAGATTCAGTGTGTTAGCAGAACTGGAGGTGGTAGTGTGTACTTTTCATCAGGAACTATAGAATCTAATTTTTGCTTTTTTTGTGATGTTGGCAGCCATTGCTGCCCAATACTAGATCTGTTAATTGATTGGGGGTTGTGAAAATGGAGATAACCTAATGCTACCATTTTGTCTTTGTATATTGGCTAGAATATATTTTTTAAGAAGTTATTTTCCCTGACTTGCTGTTTGATTTCCTGTTTGAAAGTATATAAAGGGAAAGGCAGGATAAATGTTTGATTCCTTCTTATGATCCACTAAAAGCAACAAATTAGTTTTAAAAATATAATTAAAACCTCATAGATTTAAACGTAGTTGATAGGTTTCCAATTCACTGCAACTTTCAACCTTACTGAAGCTCCAATTATTCTATATTTGGCAAGTGGAAGCCACTTCACATTGGCTTCTGTTTCCTTTTGCTATAACTTAGTAGCCTTTGATAGCTTTGATGCTGTCTGGTGTGCAAGATATTCCATGTTCATCTTGTATATTTCCAGTTTCGGGCTTGGAATCAGCCATCTCTCCAAGGAGCCCTGTTTCTACTGATAGGATGTGGTGTTTAAAGACCACAGTCTGAGTGTTCTGGTTGTTCACTGTGACAGGGCTGCTCATTGTTCCTAGACCTCTTCCCTGACGCAGTACGTGTGTATGTGTGTGCATGC